GCGGAAGTGCCAACCATTTAGCCACTGTGCTGACCACTTGGCTGACCTTTTTTCTCATTTTGCAATGAATACATTCTTTCCCATGTCAGGTCCCACGGAAGCGGAGAATAGCCAAGGCTAAGGCCAGCTGGTGGTGCAGTATGTAAAGACTCTGCAAAAGCCGGGTTGTGAGTTTGCATTTACTGTGTATTACTATTGTTCAGTGTATGCCCAGGTCAGGTCTAATGGAAGCTGAGAATTCTCAAGACCAATCCCAGCTGGTGATGCAGTGTGTAAGGCAATGGTTCTGTAAATGCAAGGTTGTGAGTTCAAATCCTACTGTGAGCTCCATGGAAGTCTTGGCTGACCTTTTTTCTCATTTTGAAATGTATGCATTCTTGCCCCTGTCAGATCTCATGGAAGCTGAGAACCCTCCAAGGCCAAGCCCAGCTGGTGGCACAGCATGTAAAATGATGACAGTGCAAAAGCCAGGTTGTGAGTTTGCATCCACCACGGCATTCTTAGAAGTTTTGGCTATTTCTCATATTTTGCAATGTATGCATGACTGCCTAAAAGATGTCTTAAGCTGCTTGTGGCTCATAAGGCTTCTCAGGTCTCATGGAAGTTAAAAACCAGCTGTTAGTGTGTGCTATGACCAGCATCCTTAATAGCACTGTGATTTTTGGTTGAATTACATATCAGAAATATTGCAGAGGAGGATTGTGCTGTGGGCAATAATGACCAAATGAAGGCAGGCAAAAAGAGGATAGTCCAGTGGGTTAAAGGAGGCAACAGAGCCATGGGGGGGGGGGGGGGGGGGGGTTGGGCTGGTGTACCTGCAGATCAAATGGGGTTGATGCTGTGGGCAAAAATGGTCAGATGCAGGTGTAGTGTTGAGGGCTGTGCCAGCTGTGGGTACGAAAGGTATGAGAAACTGCAGAAGAGGGTTGTGCTGTGGGTATGGATCTATACCCTCAACACCTCCCTCGTTTGGCAAGGTTCTCTGACAGTCTTGCCATCTGTACCACACAGATTTGGCATAGCTCTATGGCCAACCTTACCTCCCTCATCATCTGGCAAGGCTCTGAGACCAGTCTTGCCATCTATACCACCCTGATTTGACAGAGATTTTGCGAGGCTTTGTTTCATCACCAGCCTTTGCTTTATTTGGACACTTTTACCTACCCACTGCTAGCCTTACCCTGAATATCAGTCACACCATTTAAAAAACTTTACTTTTAACATCCCCCTCCCATAAGCGACAGCAGTCTTATAGACCATAGCCATATTTGCCATCAGCACCTTTTTTCTCACAACCTAGTGAGTACACTCTCATGGACATATAATAACTTTGCCAGTCCACTGAGGGATCTGTTGGAAGTCCTGGCTGACTGTTTTTCTCATTTTACAATGTATGCATTCTTCCCCAGGACAAGTCTCATGGAAGCAGAGAATCTTCAAGGCCAAGCCCAGCTTGTGACAAAGCTTGTAAAATGATGATTGTACAAAAGCCAGGTTATGAGTTCACATCCACCGTAGGATTCGGTTGCGCTGTGCTAGGACCAGCATCCTTAATAGTTCATCCAGTTTTTTGGGTGGCGCACATATCAAAGTTAGCTGGTGGCGCAGTGTGTAAGAAGATGGCGCTACAAACATGGGGTCATGAGTTCAAATCTGACTGAAAGCCTGAGGCTTAGTGCTCACGATGGGTGTCAGTGTCTGTTGTTCAACATGCAAGTCTGTATGTTTAGGGTGCTGAGGACCTTACCAGATAATAGAAGCATGGCAAATGAGGGAACTGTTGTGGGTAAGGGTAGTCATTGTCAGAGGTCCTGTGGGTGAGGAGTTGGTTGTGGAGCATGGAATGGGGCTGTAAGAATAGCCAGCTGTGGGTATGGGTGGCAACAGAGTCATTGCAGGGAAGGGTTGTGCTGTGGGAAGAAATTGCCAAATGAGGGAGGCAAAAAGGGGGTAGTCCAGGGGGTAAAGGAGGCAACAGAGACATGACTAATGTGGGTGGTGCTTGGGTAAGAGTGGGTGGCAACAAAGCCATTGCAGAGGAGGGCTATGCTGTGGGTATGAATGGGCAAAAAGGGTGTGGTTCTGTAGGTTAAGGGAGGTAACAGGCCACTGAGTTGACCTCTGGAAGTATAATGCTGGGTCTTCTAAATTTTGTCACAGTTGTAACTATTATCATGTTAATATTTATGAGACTGGTTTTGAAGTTATCAGGCCTTTTTAACAAGGTACACTAAACTGCAGGATAATTACACACCTATGCCACTCAAAGTGAACCTGTAACCAGAATCATTCTATATTTTAATGTACAGTTAACCCTAACTTAGGTGCTCCTCATTTATCCCCATGCATTACGCTCTGTGAATGGGTTGTGAAGCAGTTGAATGACAGGATCTCCCCTGCTCATTCTCAGAACATGATGCATTGTGGGAAATTAGAAAGAGTTCCTTCAATGGCACAATGAGCAGAAGGGGGTGGGCAGCGCTACTGTTTTCTGTAGCTATGGCCACAGGTAATACTTAAGGCTGGATGCTAGCTGCTCTCAACAGTATCTGGCAGCTGTGAAGAGGCACAAAAGGGAAGATGTTTGGTAGAAGTAGTAGCCTACATGTAAAGGGATACACCATTACATATCAATAAAATGTATGGTGCTATATCTCACAAAAATAAAAAAACTTCAGCTTTAATTACGAAGGGAGGAAAATAGGAACAATAAAATACAAATATTACTACTGTCTTTTACTTTTGAACCCTTTAAAAATTGACAGATGATTAGCTTATCCTAAAAAGAGGTCACGCATGGCCAACTTGCTCAAGAAAGGTTTGCTTTAAACATATACATGACACTGGAATCAGTTATAAGTCCCATCCTAGGCACGTTACAGTAATTTTCCTACCATGCTCTACTTAACTGGTAATAAAGGTGATAATTTTCCTTTAATCCATTCAGCTGTCATCTCATACCTTATAATTGTGTACTGAGTCATCCTGCTACTGCAAAAAGCCCATGGATTGTAAGTAATTTAGGAAGATGGTATAGTAAAATGCCTAGCATACAGCTCGCACACTGTAATATACAGCCATCTGGTACTGCCAGTTGCAATGCAGTAGGCAAAAGGGCGTGTCGACACTTGCACCATGCTGACTGCTGACAAAGGGTAGGCTGAGCTGGCAGACGGAAAGATGATGGTATTAAAGCACTCAGCTGTCCTTCTAGTAATCTTTTAGAATTCAGCTTCACCCGTAAAGTTCATCTAAACTAAAAAGGTTTTTTTTTTAGTTTTGGATACAGTGGGGAAGAGTTAAAGCCCTCTCCCACATTTGTGTCCTATGGCGGCAATATCCTTTCATTTCCTGTCCCATAGTTACATAAGAAAGTAAAGTAATCCTCTCTTAGGGCTCATTCATATTAAATGTGGTGTGTCTCGACTCCTATGTGCCCGGTTCACGCCACTGCACTGCGGTGGTGTGCAGGCGGTATGTGCTGACAAAAAAAAAAAAAAAAAAAAAGTATGGAAACTGTGACATGGGGGGTGTTTAACACAGTGGTAGATGCCTTTGGTGAAATCCACATCAGACGGAATTGTTTTAAGGGCCTGGTAGCCTATATGTATTTAAAAGAAAATGGAAAGTTCATAAAACAAAAGATTTCCCACACAGTAGGGCTGGGGAACTGGAGCAGCAGAAACTATGCAGCGTGGGGGCAATATGGCGTGAGGTTAGCAGGACCAGAAAGAGAGAGGAGTAAAAGCAAACCAAAGGATCAGCAGAGCTAGGGGCTACTAATGAGTGGGGAATTAGCAGAGCTGAAGGTTACTACAGCACAGGGGACTAGCAGAGCTGGGGGTTACTACTGAGTGGGGGATTAGCAGAGCTGAAGGTTACTACAGCACAGGGGACTAGCAGAGCTGGGGGTTACTACTGAGTGGGGCATCAGCAGAGCTGGGAGTATTACTGAACAGGTGATCTGCTAAACAAGGGTACCAATGAGCTGGGGATCTGCTGAATGAGGGTACCAATGAGCTGGGGATCTGATGAATGAGGGTACCAGTGAGCTGGGGTTCTACTGGGTGCCTTTAAAACAAATGGAATATCAATACACACAAGGCATTTGCCAAACTTTAATTAAGCTTCAAAAAAATATCACTGAAGTATCATAAAAACACATAAAAAAAGCATGTTGAAGCGATAGGCACTTAAATGTGTGTTGAAGTGAAGCGAATGTAGATGATCCCTTAAGCTCTTACTCAGCTTTAATCGCAGTACTTCTGCTCTTTACACTGGTCACCCAGACCACAGGTTCTTCAATGCAGACAACTTCACTTACGCACACAGGTCCTCTGGCCTTAGTTCTCAGGCCTTTATTGGTCTCTCACTCTAACACACACAGCTCCTTTCTGGCTCCAGGAAAGAGCTTGGAGTCCTCCTGACTCCTGGACGAGATACCCTCCTGTCTAGCTTGGGTGAAGCCCTGAGGTATTCCCAAACCTTCATTATAAGGCTTGTGCACCTAAGCACATACCAGGCTGGTCCTCCACAAAACCCGGACACTGGGTTGGAGATTCTGTCCCTATGTAGACACTATATAATCTCCAAACTATGAAGCCCTATCTAGGAATACTAAAATCTGGAGAAAGCTTCAAAAGTAGTTTTCTCCACTCAAAACAAATGCTCCTTAGTCCTGCATTCAGTAAATGTGCAAACCCTGTGTTTTTTTTTTCTTGACCAATTCCACAGTGACAGACCTCATACTGTCATGCATACAGAGCAGTGCAGGGCAATTCACTGCACAGAGAGGGTGAATCTTTTTTTTAAACTGATCACAAATGTTTTCAAACACTGGCACATTGCATCAACATTATGTACATGATGAAGTGGACCATATGTTTCACTGAGATGCTTCACTGCACAGCAAATTTCTGCACATATGCACTCTACTTTCTAGAGTCAACTTTAGCCCAGCTAAAATATGCAGCAGAAACGATGACCTACATATAACTTACCTCTACTTCGCAAGTATATTCAGAGCCATCCAGGAGGATGACTTTAGCCTGCATGTTTTTGGGTCTTTTCACAGATTTCAGAGGGGACTTGGAAAGTTTACTGGATGCCGATTTCTGAGAGACTTTGTCGTCTTCAAGTTGTTGATAGTCTAGCTGTTTTGCAGCAGCTTCTTTATCCCAGTCTTTGTCTGGGTTCTGTAAAGAGAAAATTACTAGATCAGGTTTCGTTCAGATGGCGTGGAGTCATTCATAGTCTTGGTACAGGTGTCACAGACACCACCTATTGCTAAAACCTCCAGGCCTTTCAACCTAAGTAAGAGCTATACCTTACAGACGTGCACATCACTGCTAGACTAAACAATACATTAACAAGCATGCCAACAGAACATAGCCATAAAACCCGTTCTACAGGACAAATAAGCAGCAAACAATATATGTACCAGCAAACACACACAAACTAATTGGAAGAAACAAACAGTACCAACAAACAAACAGTACGGTGCCAGTAGAACTAATGGCACCCGCCCGCGGGTCCGCATTCCTCTGTGCAGGGGGTGCGGCTGCACGGATTTTCGTGCAGATCCGCAGCCGCACCACACGCACATATGTGAACCTAGCTTTAGAGACAATCACCCGGAACACAGACTTCTTGTGACCCAGGCATTAGTTTATAGGGGCATACTGCCCTAAATGTACAAGCCACTAGATGCACCACCCAGCCATGTCCAGCTGCAAATCAATGCTAAAGCCTCATGCACTGGGGCTGAAGGCCTAGTGTGTATGAGGCCTTAAATAAAGTAGAACTAAACCCTCACAAAAGAATACCTAGTACCTTTTATAAAGCAAAACAAGAGCACATAGTTTTTGTTTGTTTCCCCTAAAGCTGGCAATACATTAGTAGAATTTCATTTAAAAGCTTTTACGTTTACTGGAGTCAAATCCAAGTAGAACATGTTTATTACTTTAAAAAAATAAAAAATGAAGGTTTACAATCACGTTACTCTCAATTCGTCAAAACCTATCTGAGAAGATCATCAAGACACAATCAAAAAGCAGTGAAACTGTGTAGAAAACAAAGAAATGATGAAATTTGACTGTGCCTTTGTCCATCCATATTTACAAACTATACACAGAAATTGGCATTTTCAAACGTTAATGTACATTGATAAGATTACTTGCATTAGATAAATTCTATATCATAACACCAAGCAAAAAGGTTAACACAGAAATTGTATTATAGAGATGAGGTTTGGACTACATAGGTAATCTCTTGCTACTGCGATTTAGACACTTGCTGACAATGATCTCATTAGCACATTGATTTCAGTGAGAAGCAAACGAGGTGACTGCTGACAAGTAGTTAAACCTCTTAATAGGAAAAGATTAAAAGAGTTGTTGTAGCCCTAGCTTAAAAAAAGTCACACTAGACTTTTTAAATGTTTAACCCTTTGGGGGACCAAATGCATGCAGCACTTTGTCCTGTCGTTGCCAAGCAGCATGGTCAGACATTTAGAATCCTTTCACACTGATGCAGTGTGGTTTGACAGCCCAAGGGGTGTAGCGCAGTGTACCCATGGGTTTGGCCAAAACACAGGACAATAGAAGGAGAAGCAGTATTCTGATCATCTCAGAGCTGGAAAGGGAGCAGATATAGCTGGTTTCTGCTTTCAGCCAAGCAATGCAAGCCGGAGTCAGCTGTCAGGCAGTTGGGTGGATTCTGACAATATCGTAGGGACCATTCCAGAGCCAGGAGTCACAATGTGGCATAAGCCGACAGCAAGCTTTAGCCCATTGCCGGCTGATTCTGAGTCACAGGAGAGCACAAGAGCACGAGTTTTGGCCGTTCTTCTCTTTTAAACCTAAAAGGCAATATATTGCAGTTGACCAATCTGCAATGTGGTGGCTGCAAAGGTTTTTTTTTTTCATGCTTTTTCCCCCCTTTATTTTAATCTGGTGATCCAGTCAGTGAGTATATATATTTTTTTTTAACTTCCTTTAACCACTCACTCTCCAGAAAATTTACCCCCCTTCCTGACCAGGCCTTTTTTGCGATACGATGCTGCGTTACTTTAACTGCGCAATGCTGTAATTTATGCTGTACATAAATTAAATGTAGGTACTTTTTCCCCACAAATAGAGATTTCTTTCGGTGGTATTTGATCACCTCTGCATGTTTTGTATTTTGAGCTATAAACAAAAAAAGAACAACAATTTTGAAAAAATAAATAGAGTATATATTTTTGACTTTTTTCTATAAAACATATCCAGCAAAAAAATTTTAAAAAATCAAATTTCTTTATAAATTTAGGCCAAAAAGTATTCTGCTACATCTTTGCTAAAAAACAAAAAAATCCCAATAAGTGTATATTAATTAGTTTATGTGAAAGCATCTACAAATGGTGGTAGATATACCAGAATTTTTATTTTTATTTTTTTTTATACTAGTACTGACAGCGATCTGCGACTTATAGCAGGACTGCGGCGAGAATTCTGACACTGGGTGCGAACTGACTAACTGCCATTGACATCCCAATGACACTAATACAGTGATCAGTGCCAAGAAAAAGCACCAACACTGTATTAATGACATTGGCCAGAAAGGTGTTAACATCTGGGGTGATCAAAAAGTTAAATATGTGCTGTTTTACATGATGTAAGGTGTTTTTTTTAATAGGGGAAACATGCTGCTTTGTATTTCTCTGCTATGCAGAGAAATACAAAGCAGCATGTCCTTGCTGGAGGGAAAAAGGCCTGTGTTGTTTACACACAGGTCTTTCCCCTGTCAGCTTTGCTCGACGATAGCGGGGAATCTCTGTCCGGGACCCCGTGATTGACATCCCTAGCTGCCAATGGCGGCGCAAGTAGGGAGGTGCCGCCCTGTAGCAGTACTTAGTTATCAGACCAAGATGTCCAGAAAGAGGTTAGTTTGAGGTTGTTGCTCCTCCAGTGGAGACACCCTAAGACAGAAGTCTGTTACTGGCTGGATCACCAAGTGACTGGGCCATTATTTCCTGGCTATGTTCTCTTTTGGAGAGACAGTGTAAAGTGTGAAAGAGGAGGGGAATGTGAAAGAGGACCTAGTTGATCGGAGGTTATTTTTCGCTGTAAACAAGCACATTACGAGAAAAATAAAAACCCCTAACTTTAAGAGAGCTAATTGTCTAAGGCTGAGAGCTGCTCTTCAAGACTTAGACTGGGAGGGAATATTGGCAACGATGAACACAACACAGAAATGGGAGTTCTACAGAAAGACTATATGTGAAAACACTGCAAAATATATTTCCACGAGCAATAAGTTTAAAAGGCTAAAAATGAAACCTATCTGGCTTACAGCCAAAGTTAAAAAAGCTATAAATACAAAAAAATATCAAATATATGAATAGTAAAAAGGTCAGGTCCGAGCATGTAGGCCCTTTGACTAGGGACAAAGAACAGGCAAATTTATGAAATACCTATTTTAGCTCTGTGTAAAAAAAGGACCATGGGGGAGCTCTTGTCCATAATGGGCATGGTATTGTCACAACACTAGATGATCCACATTGACTCACAATTGATATGATCCAGAAACATTTAGACAGAATAAAGGGGAATAAAGCACCTGGTCCGGATGCCATACACCAGGGTCCTCAAAGAATTGAGCTCTGTCATTTCAAAGTCATTGTTTCTCATTTTTAGGGACTCTTCAATGAGTGGCATAGTACCACTGGATTGGCATAAGGCCAATGTGGTGCCTATATTTAATAAGGGATCAAAATCATTATCAAGTAATTATAGAACTGTTAGTTTAACTTCTATAGTTGGGAAGATACTGGAGAGTTTAATAAAAAAGACCACATGGACGAGTTCCTGCTGGAAAAAAATATTTTAAGAAACAGACAGCATGGATTCATGAAAGACAGAAGTTGTCAAACAAATCTGATTTCTTTTTATGAGGAAACGAACAAAAACCTTGGACAGAGGGGTGGCGGTGGACGCAGTATACTTGGATTTTGCAAAAGTGTTTGACATCGCTAATGTGTAAGGTAACGTCTACAGGCTTGGAAAAATCAGTATGTAAATGGATAGAAAACAGGCTAAAAGACCGAATTCAGAGAGTAGGGGTAATGATTCATACTCTTAATGGTCTAGGATTGTTAGTGGTGTACCCCAAGGTTCACTGTTGGGACCCTTACTTTTTAATATAATTATAATCAATATAGGGTCTGGGATTAAAAACACCAAATTCAGTCTTTGTAGATGACACCAAGCTATGCAGTGGAATAATGTCCTTACAGGATGTCTCCAACTTACAGGCCGATCTCAATGCACTATTTAATTGGGCAACTATGTGGCAAATGTGGCTTGATGGGCTTGATGTTGATAAATGTAAAGTTATGCACTTGGGGGCTAAGAATATACATGCATCATACATAATAGGGGGAGTACAACTGGGGGAATCAATGGTCAAGAAGTATCTGGGACTTCTGGTAGATAATAAGCTTTATAATGGCATGCAATGTCAAGCTGCAGTTTCTAAAGCAAACAAAATCCTCTCTTCCATTAAAAGAGTTATAGACTGCAGAGAGATATCATTTTACCCCTGTACAAATCATTAGTAAGACCTCATTTGGAATATGCAATTCAGTTTTGGGCACCAATTCACAAAAAGAATATTGGGGAACTGGAAAAAGTGCACAGAAGGACAACCAAACTGATAAGAGGAATGGAGGAGCTCAGCTATGAGGAAAAGTTAAAGGAATTGAATTTATTCTCTCTTGAGAAGAGGAGATTAAGGGGGATATGATCAACATGTATAAATACATCAGTGGTTCATATAGTGAACTTGGTGTAGAGTTATATAACCTGAGGTCATCACAAAGGACAAGGGGGCACACTTTACGTCTGGAGGAAAAGAGATTTAATCTCCAAATACGGAAATATTTCTTCACAGTGAGAGCTGTAAAAATGTGGAATAGACTCCCTCAAGAGTTGGTTCTGGCCAGCTCAGTAGATTGCTTTAAAAAAGACCTGGATTCCTTCTTAAATACACATAATATAATTTATGGGTAAACTTGATTCAGATTGCCTCTCGGGGGATCAGGAAGGAATTTTTTTTCCCCTGCAGGAGCAAATTAAACCATGCTTTGCTGGGTTTTTTTTGCCTTCCTCTGGATCAACTGTGGGTATAGGATTATAACTTTTTTTTTTTATGGTTGAACT